GGGGTAGGGGGGGGGGGTGGGGGGACGGAGGCATCTCCTGGAGACCCGACTTGGGGGCCGACTCCCTCTCCAGCTATGCCCTGTTCCCCACTCTGGTCCTCCTGCTCCCCTCATAATCTGATGGACACCCTGAGATCTGCCCCTGCTTGCCACCCCCACCCCCTGGCCCAGACAGGAGGCTTTGCAGAAAGATACAGGGCCACCCTAAGACAGGTGCCCAGGACTGAATCTGTGTGGGGGTGACATTTCCTCAAAAGGGTGCCCCTGACGCATCCTCGACCTCCTCTCTCTCACATCCACCTCCAGGCCTGGGGCTCTGTCTTCTAGATCCCAGCGCTCGGTGCTGGCCACCTCCACTGCCCACCTGCCTCTGGGCCTCCAGGTGCCCCTCAGGGAGCACCGGGGCCTGTTCCACACCCTCCCCCTCCCCTCCCCTCCACAGCCTGCTCCACCCCTGCTGCTCCTCTTGGGCTGGGGCTGGCCTTCCCCCTCCTGGAGGTGCCTCGGGGCTGCATTCGTGTGGCTTGGGAGCCAGGGCCCCTGGCTGTGCCCAGTGGTTACCACTGGTTACTTGTTGCACTGTTACTTTTGTTGCCACCAAGTACTTGTCTTGCCACTGGTTACTTGTTAGCAGGGGCTATTTGCTAGCATGCACTAAGGTGTGGGTGCCACTGCTCTAGCTGGGCCCCAGGAGTTAGGGAGGGATGGCACCCGGAATGGTAGCTGGCACCCTGGGTCCCATTTGCTTTTGGATTAAGGCGTCTTGCTTGTGTCTAGAGAATCTTGAAGCCATCCAGGTGGTCTCTGGGATGGATTCTCCCGGGACCAGAGGAGAACACTGGTTTTCAGGTTTATCAATGTCTTACAGGGATCAAAGAGAGGGACCCCGAGAGGCTCCTGGGCCTGCCTGAAAGGCAGTGGCCTCAGCGCACCCAGTGTTGGGGCAGGGACAAGTTCCCTGAGGAGGCAGGCTGGGCAGTGGTCAGGGTCGTGGGCCTGGAGTCACGGGGCAGGAATCCGGTTCTGTCCTCCAGCAGGTGTGGCGAGGTTTAGGTAGAGGACGCTGTCCTCCCAGTTCCACAGACCACGCTGCTGGAGGCCTGCTCTGACCGCTTCCCAGAGGACTCCACCTGCAGTGCTGCCCGTATGGTGCCCGCTGGCCCAGGGGCAGGAGAAACAGAAACTGGTGGAGAAGTGGGACATGCACCCGCTGAGTTTCGGTTTTGTTCCCTGGCCCTTGGCCTGTAGGAGAGAACCTAAGCAGCTGGCAGGGGGCAGCCCTGGACCTGGCTGGAGTTCAGACCACTGAGGGGTGTTGGGGATTGGGGAGGGGCTGGAGCCTGGAGGCGCCGTGGTGGACCTGGCCTCCTGACCCCTCCAGCACTTCTTGGCTCTTCCCAGGTGCTGGGACCCAGCTGTCTGCCCAGGATGAGCTGTCTCTGCCCCTCCCGCGCCCCCTCCCCCAGCCTCAGTCAGACAGCTGGGCTCCGCCCTGCCTGTGCCCCCCACCCTGTAACAGGTGGGGGGGAGGGGCTGCATTTACTTAGCTTCCTGCTCGCCAGTTACCTCTCATCCTTCCCAGGACCCAGGTGCTTGGCCTGTAGAGACAGGGCTGCTGGTTTGGGAGGGAAGCGAGGAGCCTCTGACTTGCTGCAGAGAAAGGGCTGGTGGCCAGGAGATCCAGGGTCTGGTCACTGAGCAGTGGGATTGGGCGGGATGGGCCTGGCGCCCTGGGCTTTGGTCGTTGGTTCCTTCATCAGACCCTGTGACTAGGTTTGGGCCCCTCCGAGAGCTATAAGTGGCAAGGCGCTGTCCTTGGGACACAGGCCTGGTGACAATTTACAGCTCAGTACAAGGAGGAAGTGCTGCGGAAGGCGGGGTTTCCTCGGGAGATACAACTGCAGCTGAGGGGGGTAGCCAATAAGTGAAGCTGGAGCTTGGAGGGCTGCCCCCCAAGAATGTTCCCATGGGCCTGGGGGTCCTGAGGGCTGAGCAGGGGGCAGGCCTCACTCCAGCCACTCTGGGCTCCTCTGGTTTTGTTGACATCTGGCCCAGGTCCTTGCTGCCCTCACCAGGATGGCACTCAAAGGGGGGGGGGGTGTCTGCTTGCTGGCAGGCCTCTAGGGAGGGGGGCATCTCCCATGGGGTCTCATCGTCTCTCTTCTCTTCCCAGTCTAGGATGACGGGGTCCCCAAACTGGAGAGCCATGCAGGACACACGCAGGTACCGGCACCACTACCCGGTACGTAGCTGCCTGAAGCACCCTCGAACCCTCGCAGCCCACCTGGGGCTAAACCCTCCCGCCTTCCACCCGGACGAGGCCAGTGGCACAGCGTGTTCCTTGGCCCTGCCTCTGGAGCCTCAGCGGCCTTGCCCTTACTAGGCATCATGGTGCCAGCTCTCGGCACGGCCACATGAGGCCCCATACCGCCTGCCCCTGCAGTGGTCTCCTGTGTCCTCAGCCCCTGCCCTCTGCACCCATGAGTCTCAGGAAGCCCTTGTGCCGCCTCCGGGTGCAGATGAAGGGGACCTCCCAGCACTGGTCCACTTTGGGGAGGAGGAGGTCAGAGGTGGGTGAGGAGCCCAGGTTGCCACATGGGGTCCTCACCAGCCTTCAGGATGTCTGGTGTTGTCCAGTGGAGAGCAGATGCCCCTCCCCCAGGAAAGCTTTAGTCTGAGGGCCCAGGGAGGCCAGCCTGTTTCTGATTCTGTCACCAGCACTCTCTCTGGCTCTTTAGGATTTGATGGAAGGGGACAGCAATGGTGACATGCCAAACCTGAGTTTCTACAAAAACGAGATCCCGTTCCGGCCCAATGGTGCGTGCCTGGCCGCCTGCAGCTCCCTCCTGCTGCGGGTCCCCTCTCCCCTCTCTCTGCCTCTGGGTCTTCTGGGACCTGGGCTGCTGGGACCTGGGCTGGGACTGGGGCACTGGGGCCTATAGCTTTCAGGTAGCCCCACAGCGCCCCCCACAGGCAAACTTGCTGTGATGGCCCAAGCGGTACATGCGGGTGGCGTTGCAGCCCCGAGGTCTCTGTCACAACTACTTGGCTCTTGTGCCGAGTGGGAGAGCCACATACACCAACGAGTGAGCAAGTGTGGTTTTCACATTTTCAAATGGTTGGAAAAATTTTAAGGTAGAATAATATTTTGTGACTTGAAAATTATATGAAATTCAAATTTCAGTGTCCATGAGTGAAGTTTATATACATATACATACATATACATATTCCTTATTGATTTCAGAGAGGAAGGAAGGGGAAGGAAGAGGGAGAAAGAGATAGAAACATCAGTGATGAGAGAGAATCATTGATCAGCTGCCTCTTGCACCCCCCACACTGGCATGTGCCCCAACTGGGAATCAAACTGTGACCTCCTGGTTCATAGCTCGATGCTCAACCAGGCACGCACCATGCTGAGCCAGGCCGTCCGGGCCATGAGGGAAGTGTTATTGGAACCCGTGGTCTGTGGCTGTTTCCCTAGGATGCAGCGTAATTGCCTCAGAGGCCATGTGGCCGCACACCTTAAATACTCAGCCGGACCCTTCGCAGACACAGTGGCCAGTGGAAGACCAGCTACGGGGTGGGGCTCAGCTGCAGGTTCTGTGTGAGGGCAGAGTTCTGATGACAAGCCCTGGTGTGAGGGGCAGTGAGGACCCTCCAGCAAAGACAGGTGCAGGTCAGGGAGCACCTGTCCCTCCCTCGGGCATAATCCTCTCTCTGGCATCTGCTCTCAGGTTGCAAAGAGGCCAAGGGCCTAAATTGGGGGATTAAAATCACATGAGATGTACAACTCAAAGCTGCAGAGCCCCAAGGTCCTCAAGAAAGGTGGTAGCCCTGGCCAGTTGCTCAGTGGGTAGAGCATCGGCCTGCGGACAGAAGGGTCACGGGTTTGAGTCTGGTCAGGGGCACCTACCTCCATTGCAGGCTCGATCTCCATGCCAATCAGGGTGCGTGCGGGAAGCAACCAGTTGATGTCTCTCTCTCACATCAATGTTTCTCTCTGTCTCTCCCCCTCCCTTCCACTCTGTCTAAAAATCAGTGGGGGGGGAAAATGCTTGGGTGAGGATTTAAAAAAAAAAAAGTGGGTAGCGCTTGAATAGCTCCCCACTGACTCACTGACGCGTCCCATGGTGCTCTAGGCTATTACATTGAGTATATTCTTGAGAAATGGAGGGACAACTACGACCTCCTGGAGGACAACCATTCCTACATCCAGTGGTGAGCAGAGGGCGGGCGTGGGGCTCGGAGCACAGGTGGGTTCAGCATCTGGGGAGGGGCTGGGACTCCTGGGGAGGAGGGGCAGAGCTGGGGGGCTGAGGTGGGGCTGGACCTCTGGGGAGGGTCTCCAGGGGAGGGGCTGGAGGGCCTGGCTTAGGCAAGCCTCTTCCTGGAGTCCCATGCATGCCTGCAGGCACACTGCGTCCTTTCTGAAGCCGAGTTTGGTGCTGGCTGCGGGCACTGCCAGCTCGGGTTCTTCACTGTGAGCAGCTCTGTGCTGGCTGGGAGCTGAGGCTGCGCGTGGGGCAGGAAGGACAGCAGACAGCAGCCTGCCGCACGTGAGCCCTGCGGCAGTGAGTGCGGCCTGTCCTGCGTGGCTTGTGGTCGCCCTGCGAACAGTGTGTCTTTGAGGACGGCTCCCAGGGGGCCTCTCCTGGGCACAGGCAACTCTCAGCATCAGTGATGAGAGGGGAAGAACGAAGAACAGAAGGAACAGCTGGCCGGCCTGGGCGAAACGGCTAGCTGGTTGCCCTTGCTGTAGGCCACACGTGCCTGTCCTGTGCCCTGGTCTGTGATGCCCACCCTGGAGCTCTCCTGCCCTCACCCCTTGACTTTATTGTGAGAGCCTGCGACATGTGTGGCCTAGCGAGCCCCTCCCAGGGTTGAGTGGTGAGCCACTCCCGGCTGCCCAGCAGCATGTGCCCGCATTGCCGGGAGCCCGAGGCTGCCAGGGACGGGCCTGTGCTATCTCTTCTCCCACAGGCTGTTTCCTCTGCGGGAGCCAGGGGTGAACTGGCATGCCAAGCCCCTCACGCAGCAGGAGATCGAGGTGAGCCGGGCCTCTGGGTACCCCTGGGGAGCCACTCGTAGGGCAGGAGCTGGAAGTCCCCCTAATTATCTTTCCTCTAAAGTGTTCCTCACCTCTCCCCAGGCACTCCTCACAGACTTCCAGAGAAATCACTCTACCTTGGGGCGTCTGGGGCAGGGGCTAGCCTCTGTCGCCCCTTGTTGGGGCAGGAGCAGGACCCCTAGAGGGATTGATGGGGGAGCCACTGAGCATGTCAGGAGGCGCAGCATGCTCCTAGGTGATGGCGAGTGCACGATGCTGCCCTGGCGAGTCCTGAGCTCTTCCCAGCGGCTTGAGAATTCCTCTCAGGACTAAAGTGGACACTTCAGGCCCTGGTGTCCTTGTAGCCGCTCAGAGTAAAGAGACGGTCACATTAAGGAGTTTTAGGGCTTCAGCCTGAGTCTGAGTCCAGTCCCGGCCTCTAGTGAGTCAGACCTGAGGGGGCATCGCCAGCTGGGTGTCTGTGGGGCGGCTCCAAAGCGCTCGCTCTCCTGGGGCTGCTTTCCAGGCCTTTAAAAGCTCCCAGGAAGCCGGGCAGCGGCTTGTCCAGGCCTACGAGCTCATGCTGGGGTTCTACGGAATCGAGCTGGAGGACCGGGACACAGGCAAGGTGCGGCGAGCCCAGAGCTACCAGAAGCGCTTCCAGAACCTCAACTGGTGAGGACCCCAGCGGGGTAGCTGGCACAGCCAGGTCTCAGGCTGAGGAGGGGACTGTGCTCGGCTTCTGGCAAGTGCCCGGAGCCCTTGTGGGAGCAGGGACAAGCGACTGGGCTGAGCACCCTGCTCCTTGCTTGCAGGGTGGGGGTCCCTGCCTGATAGGGTGTGAGGGCCTAAAGGGAGTCCCGCTGCTCTGTCGGCCCTACTACCCGTGGCGTGGGTCCTAGGACCCGCTGGGCTGGGTCGGCTTCACAGCACCCCCGTGTGCCTGTTGAGAAGCCAGGTCAGGGGGGTGTGGAGGAAGTGCAGGGGAGGAATCTGCCCGCGGGCACAACTCCGGGAGCCCCTCCAACCCTCCTCTAGCCTTGCGGGGGGAGGGGTGCTCCAGGGACCCAGGGGACCGGCACCCTGCAAGAGGAGAGAGCGCGCATCCCAAACCCAGCCAACCGCAGGCTCCGGGGGGTGGGGTGC